TTTTAAATAAATATACACACCTTTCACGTTTCGCCCCCAAAATACACAGTCACTGCACTTTACAATATATTCCTTGAAGCACTTCAAGACGTCTCAACGACGTGATGAGGCGCTGTATCAAATGCAGTGTTTGTTATGAGAATTTTTGGGGTTATTACTGTCATCTCTTTTCGTTGGGGGAAGAGGGTCATTTCTGAAAGGAAAGCAGTACGTTGAGCGAAAGAGAAACGAGAATAAAAAGGGGAGAGAAAAGGAAAGGGGAGCTTTGAGTTTTGTTCCCTGGGTCGAGATACAATCTCTCTCAGGGTTATGAAAGTGCAAAATATATATGATTAGATTTGTTTTATATATATACATATATATGATATATTTATGTTATATATATATAATATATATTTATATGTTATATATATATCATATATATTTATAGATTTATAAGCTTAAGTATTTATATTATATACTTACAAGCCATATATATTATATATGTGTCCTTTATTTAATTCAACTCTTGAAATGATTTTGCTCATGAATAAATAAGTGTATGCTCTCCACGTTGCAAATCCTTGCGATTCTTTATTTTTTTTTGCACAGGACGTGTTGAATCGGAATCAATTGTACCATTTCTCCTCGATTGAAATGTTTATGCAAACCCTGGAAATAGTAAGAGATTAAAAAAAAGAGAAGTTAAGTTACTCTACACCGACCTAATTAATAGCAGTGTCCTTTGTAGAAGCTAAAAGCAATGGAGACTTTGAAACCTTTCGATTTTAATACAATTCGCTCAGTGTGTTGTTATATTCTGGTCCCCTCCACTAAGAGCAATTATTACTGTTTGGTAAAATAAAGTTAAAACAGATTCGAGCAGAAATATGCAGCGAAAAATGCGTCTAAAACCTCCTTTCTTGAAGAATTCACCGTGGCTGAGAGAGAAAAATGATTTAAAAAAACCCCATAAAATATTACTTTTAATTGAGTGGGTTTTCAGTGTACATTGAGGATGATGTATATTGTTCTTGATAGTATATTATTATTTTAGAAGTATTATTATTATTATTATCCCTACTATTCAGTGTTTTATTTTGAAACAAAAATGAAAATAAAGTAATTAAGTTGAGAATAAGCAATTTTGTGGCGAGGGTGGAGGTCCCCAAATTCCACCTAGTCTTACCTGGTAAGACTATATATATATATATATATATATGTGTGTCTTAAAATGGAAGATTGCACAGAAATTGTGGTCAAATTCTTAAATCCATTCCTCATTTGTAAACCTCTTTTTGTTTAGTTCTTAACAAAAAAACATTGCCAAGTTAAGACTGAAATTAAGAGTTTTTTNCCCCACAATTCTGCGCATGTTATATGTCAGGACAACATGCTAAGATGAGGCAGATATAACTCTCATTAACTTTATGTCAAATGTTACCCTCATCTTACAAATACCCAGTGTTGGAGTCTAACCAATGCCGTGATAACGCAATGAGGGGTTGTTCGATGTTAAGGTAGAAATAATGGGACATGTGATGTGATCATTACCACAAAATTGGTAAATAATGATCAGATCACACATGGTGCACTTTTCAATGCAAAATATTTCGCTTATTTCCCTTTACACGGGTTTTTAATGTAATAAAGATATGTATATCTTATACATATGTGTGTGATGAGTGTTTGAGACAACATCTGGTGTTAACATTACTTATTTTACCCTACATTCAAATATTTAGACCCTGCCCTGTGGGAATCCAATTTCAATGTGGAGGTGATGGGGTTGAGAGTGAGAATAATCGCCACAGACATCTTGCTGTTAATAATAATTTAATATAGATTAACAATCGCAAGCACGAGAAAATATTTACAGTCCCAGAATCGATAAAACTCTGCAATTCGCAATGCGACGCTTCGAAACCCATTGCCTTAAACACAGCAGCTTTCAATGTACCCGACGTCAATAAGGCGCAAAAAATAAACAGCCCACGAAACAGATTCAGTCACTTCACAACCTCATGCGGTCTTGTTTCCCCCCCTTCCGCCCCCCCCCCCAGTTGGAAGCTGTGAAATAAAACAAATCCTCTTTCTGTTGTTGTCAAAATACCAGTACAAAAGTAGCCTCCCGATTTAACTGTGGTTTTGATGAGTAAAAGTGATGGCGGTACATAGAAAACACAATGCAGTACAATAATAATAATAATAATAATAATCCTTGCATTTGATATAGCGCCTTATCACGTCTTCTAGATGTCTCAAAGCGCTTCACAGAATATACTGTAAAGAGAATTGACTGTATATTTGTGGGCGAAACGCGGCAGCCAATTGCGCACAGCAATGTCCCACAAACAGTCGTGGATTGAAGTGACCAATTTATTATTGTTTTTTTCTTGAGGGTTATTATTAGGCGTGTGGAGTAAGCAAACTTGGCCGAGGTTTCGCCCTGCCGAGAACTGAACCCAGGTCTCTCATTTGAGAGGCAAGTGCTGTAACCACTGAGCTACAGGACTCCACAATTGCTCTCAGACACATGTTAAGCATTTCTCACACAAGGCAAAAAGGTTTCGAGATATGAAATGTAATTAAAAGAAAAAAAATGTTTTAAATAAACAAAATCAATTTTGCAGTTTGCTGTCTGCATATTCTTTCAAGCCCAACTTTTTTTATATACCCAACAAAACCCAAAAATACTGTATTAAAAATGTTTAACAAATCTAGAACATGTTATTTTGAATTTTAGTCAAATTGGATATGGAATGTAATTAAAAGAGGTGAAAGCATTTTGTTTTAATAAATATAACTCAATTTTAACACTTGCTGTTTGCATATTCTCTTTCAAACCCAACTTTATTTCCTAAAACAAAACCCAAAAAAGTTGAAAATGTTTAATGAATCAAGAGCAAGTTATTATGAATTTTAGTCAACTGAGACATGGAATGTAATTAAGAGGTGAAAGCATTTTTTTTAAAAAAAATTGCTACTTGCAGTTTGCTTATTTTCTTTTAACCCAACTTTTCTTTCTAAAACAAAATGATAAGGTTCCACACAAAAGATTATTAAAGAAAATAGAAGGGCGTGGAGTCGGAGGTAACTTTGTCACGCTTGGAGGAAGGAAACAGAGTAGGGATAAAGGGAATGGAGGCTCAGTAAATTCTGTAGGTGGGAGTAGGAAGTTACAAAGGGACGTAGATAGACTAAGTGAGCGGGCAACGCTGTGGCAGATGGAGTTCAATATAGGGAAGTGCGAGGTCATCCACCACGGACCAAAAAAAGATTAAGCAGAATATTTTCTTAATGGGGAGAAATTAAGAACTGTGGAGGAGCAAAGAGATTTGGGTGTCCATGTCCAAAAATCAGAAAAAACTAGCTCGCAGGCGCAAAAAGTAATCAAAAAAGGAATTGTTGGCCTTTATCTCAAGGGACCTGGAATATAAAGGGGAAGAAATGATGCTTCAGCCGTATAGAGTGTTGGTCAGACCCCATCTGGAGACTGTGTTCAGGTTCGGGCAACACACCTCAGGAAAGATATATTGGCCCTGGAGGGGATACAGCGCAGGTTCACCAGGATGTTACCAGGCCTAAAAGGGTTAAATTACGAGGAAAGGCAGCGTAAATCTGTATTGTATTCCCTTGAGTTTAGAAGGTTGAGGGGTGATATGATTGAGGTTTTTAAGATGATAAAGGGATTCAACAGGGTAAATTCAGGGAAGCTATTTCCTCTGGTGGGGGAATCCAAACAAGGGGGGGAATAGTCTTCAAATTAGAAATTAGTGAAACCAGGAAGCATTTGTCACTAAAAGGGTGGTAGAAATCTGGAATTCTCTCCCCCAAACGGCCATGGATGCTAGATCCATCCACACCTTCAAGAGTGAGGTTGATAGATTTTTGGAAGGTCAGGATATTAAGGGATATGGGAAGAAAGCGGGAAATTGGAATTGAAAGGATTAGTCTAGGTACATTTAATGATCTAATTAAATGGCGGAACAGGCTCGAAAGGCTGAAAGGCCTACTCCTGTTCCTATGTTCCTATAAAAAAAAATGTTGAAAATGTTTAAGGAATCTAGAACACGTTACTATGAATTTTAGTTAAATTGGATATGAAATGTAATTAAAAAGCGAGTGAAGCATTTTCTAAAATAAAAAACCCTCAATTTTGCCACTTGCTGTTCGCATATTCTCTTTTAACACAACTTTTTTTTTCCGGAACAAACAAAAAAGACTTGTCGTGAAAATGTTTAACAAACCTTTGCTATCATGTTTCTATTTAAATCGTTACTGTTAGTCAAATTGAATTGGCGGTTCTTTATTGATAGCCCGACCCAGATCTGTTGATTTTTGCAAGAGTTGTCCATCCTTGCTCCCGACACCCCCCTCCCCCATCCCAGACAATTAGTTTAAAATATACAAAAACAACCCCCTGAAAGATAAAATAAATACCACATCCGCCATAAAATAGGAATGTATCCAGAACTTCACATAAGTAACAATCCAAAGCTCCACAACAACAACAAAAAAATATCTAAACAAACCAGGTGCTAGTTTAGATTTCAACAGCAAAAGCTTTTGGGGAGATGTCGATTTTATGCCCCCACCCCCATACACACGACCTTCAACCTAAGGATACAGGGCTGGATAAAACTCCCGAACGCTTATTAAGTTGGCATTAGATTTGGCACCCATCGCCATACTACAGTCCATTCATTATTCCCCGCCTCTATACGGGCGAAACAAACTGATGTTCTCTCATTTCCTCACCCCTCACTCTCACCCACGGGTGTGCACAGTAGAAAATTTGCAAGCTACAGGAAAGTTTTACATCTGGTTTCCAAACTTCCATCCCCCACTTCATAGAAAGTGCCAGATTCCACACATTTTAATGCTTTCCCACTGAGATGCAAATTGAGTAATTAATACGTGGCAATTTTACGTAAAACCCCACATTTTTTGTGAGATGAATTTTCTAAATTGGATGCATTGCAAAATTGGATGAATTTCGTATTATTACTATTTAATGTCTAATACATTTTGTATTTATTATTATTGTAATTAAGTGACAACTTGGTGGAATTGCAGTTTCGAGGCGTGCTCAGTGAAGCTTCCCCCTTATTTAAGTGATTATTATTACCCAAATGATACCAAAAAAGTATTCCGAAACATAAACCCAACAAGAATGAGGCATGTGTGTGTGCGTGTATGGGGAAACCTACAATAATACTATAAAGCATCCAGTTAAGAGACACAAGGTGAAAGAGAGAGCTTGGTTAAGCCAGCAGTGTGCATTTTGAACAATATCTTGAATTCTGCTGGAAGCTGATGAGTTTCTTGCCAGTTGGTGTTGAATTTTGTTCCCTTTTTGTCATAGTAATGGTAGGGAAGCTCCCTTCCTGTGTTGGGATCCCAAGCGAAGGGCCAAAATCCGTACAAGTGAATCTCTTCGCAAACGGAGGATGCCAGCGTGTACATTAGGATGCCTGTGCTCAGACGTTTTGGTGACAGCTGTTTGGTTTTCCAATATCTGTTGAACAGGGAAACAACAGGAGTGAGAAACAATCACAAGAATGTTCTCCAAAAACAAGGCACTGCGCTTACAATTCCCAAATGAGGGTTTTTTCACGTGTAAATGTTCTTAGGCAGGGCGAAACCTTAGGCAAGTTTCCTTATTTCACACATCCTTCTGTTTGCCGAGCCGTAAGCAGGAACCATTTGTGAGTCGACTGGTGGTGGATCACTTTCCAGCGATAATAATCCCTCCAAAAAAACAAAAATAATAAAATTGATCACTCACTTCATGGCTGTTTGTGGGACACTGCTGTGTGCAATTGGCTGCCGCGTTTTGCCCACAAAAAACAATCAATCCACTTTACAATATATTCTGTGAAGCGCTTTGAGACATCTCAGTGACATGATAAGGCACTATATCAAATGCAAGGATTATTATTATGCAAGAAATTATATCTTTATATATTGGAATTTGAGAGGGTATATTTAGATACACTAATGACATCACAGAATGGCATCTTAGAATAAATCATGGCATGGATTGTGTGCTGAGCAACAATATTAAGTTGTTCAAGGAAAATCAAGTGATGTTCTTCATTTGAAGAGCTGCAATAAAAAATACAGTTGCAAAAGGCAGAAATAGATGTGTAGGCTGAGATCACCAGGTTCTGCTTAAATTATTTAGTCAAAAATAACCCCCTGGTCAAGTGCATTAGCACACTGGCCTTTATCTCTGAAATTTGGGTTTCAGCCCAGAGCAAACAATGTGCATGAGTACAGGTCAATAATAACAAAAGTCTCTCCTTGCGTTTTCTATTCACTGGGAGCAGAGATCCGATGTGAAACGAGTTTGGTCCCACTCAACCCAGATCCTAGTCAGCTGTGATCGATTAGGAAAACTCTGTTTACCGAGCAGTAAGTTGGAACCAGTTTGTTAGACAATCGGCAGATCACTTTCCGTGGGTAATAATCCCTCCAAACAAAAAAAATTGGTAACGCAATCCATGTCTGTTTGTGGGACACTCTTGTAGCAATTACCTGCTGCATTTCACCCACAAAATACACCGTCTTTCCATCTTACAGTATATTCTGTGAAGCGCTATGAGACATCTCAACGATATAAGGCAAAATATCAAATGCAAGGATTATTATTATAGTTTTGGCCCCAAACCTAAAATTGCACTAAATTGGTAATGGTTGTTTAGACAGATTTCTAGTGTGAAATATCAGGCCATGTATCATTCATACAGAAAAGAATATTCCTTGAAAGTTGGAGCATATTGTTTCTTGTAAGGGTTAGGGTGCTTTCCTTTGCATCATACTGGGAATGGTTGATGCTGTCACTGGATATCTAACACATTCTCCACCTTACTCGTAGACAACAACAAATTACATTTGTATGGCACCTTTCACGTCGGGAGGACATCCCAAAGCGCTGGACAGTCAGGGATTTGGATCCGAGCAGAGGGTTAGGATCAGGGAGGGTGGAGAGCAGGGAGGGTAGGAGGGTGACCGAAGGCGCGGTTGAAGAGGAGGGACTTGAGATGGGCCTGGAAGGAGGCAAGGGAGGGAGGTAGGTAAAGGGACTGTGGGATAGCGTTCAAAAGAGGGGGGACAGAGAGGCTAAAGGCCTGACCGTCGATGGTGGGGCAGGCCGTGCAGGGAACATGCAGCAGGCTAGAGCCTGCTGAGCGGAGGAGTGGAGAGGTCAATATGAGAAAGATTCCCCACATTGTCCAAAGTATTGACTTAAATGGTATGAGCCACACTCATTCCTCTTCCCGCCTTGAGGTTATGTGATTAACACATACAGTACTTACTTATTGACATATTGCATTATATTTCCAGGCCAAGCCAACTCCACCTTCAGTTGTCTTCTATGTTCCACAAAAAAATCGACCAATGTTCTTGTCACAAGAGCCGAACTGTGGAAGAAAAAAGCAGGGATCCAAAGAATGGCTCCGTCAAGCTTTTTCAGATTGAGGAAAAATTTATTTCGGTCTTGGATTGCCATGAGGTTGTTATAGTACTTTTCGAGAATACTTGGGTTGAACGTTGTGAGGTTGGTTTTCCTTCCGACATCTTTCTCAAAAAATTCAGTCGGTGCAAAATTGCAGCGAAACACAAAGTCTGACTTATCTATGCTGTCTCCACACCTGCTTCCTCTTAGGATTCCACTGTTCCCAACCACTGCACAAGTATTATAATGCATTTTTAATAGAGGAGACACCTCAGGAAGCAACATGCGGAAGTTATTGCTGATGGAAAAAACATATTTGTGGCTGGAATAATCAAAGTGCATTAACTGTCCAACCCGCACGTTTTTCTTAATCAGGGTGAAATTTTGAATCACGTCGATATAATGTCTGATATCCTCCCTAAAAAAACAAAGAAAGAGTTAGCTGCGCTATTTCTCAGCCGCTAGTATTTGCAATGAAAATGCGAAGAGCTTGGTTTATAGAACTTATTTATAATATGTATTGAGACCATTGTTACAGAAATGTTTCTGTGAAAACTGCCCACTCCAACACTGGGGTCTTATATGAAGTCTTTCTTGATGAGAATTCTCAGTTAGGAACCAAAATCACACGATTGAAGGGGGAGTAAATTCAAAACAAATCTGTGGAAACACTATTTCAGAAAGCGAGTATTAAATGTATGGAACCGGCTTCCCAGGGAGATGGTGGAAGCAGAAAGTGTTGATTCTTTCAAAAGCAAATTAGAATTTCTTCAAAGAAATAATATCTTGGGATACAGTATATAGTTTGGGATATGACATGTGCATGCAACTGCCAGGATGGTAGAAGGTGAACTGGATGAACCTTGGTCTTCTTTCATCTAGCAATTCTTATGTCCTTAAGTGAGGACTGCTTTCACCCAAGGGTCCTTTGAATGAGACATTAAATCGAGGTTGTGTCGACCTGTTCAGGTGGATGTTAAGGAGCCCATGCAATTATTTGAAAAGAGAAGGGAGTTTCTCCTGAGATCCTGGTCCACACCTTTCTAATTTGTTCACAGACTATGACTGTTTGCGGTACTTTGCTGTGCACAAATGGTACTGAAAACTGAAACGCTGAGACGTTTTGATGCAAAGATTATTATTAATTATTATTATATTATATTTCTCCTCTACTCTCTTGAACTACTTCTGGAGCAGCATTCCTTATTAAGTAATTCTGTTAAGAAATACTGCAAACTGGACCCCACTATTCAAAGATTGAGAAGAAATTCCCCGAAATGAGTGGAAAAAGAAGGAAAGCAATACAGATTGTTGATATATAATTTTTCAACCTGGTACTTTGTGTGTGTTTAAGACTTTGCTTACAATTATTAAAGCTTCTTTGTAAAATGTTATCACATTTATTAATTGACAAGCTGGTTCAAATAATATCATTAAAAAAATTCCACGCAGCATTCATTGATGGCAAAGCAAAGAAAAGATGGTGCCTCATGTGGAGTATTAACACAGACACAGTTGGTAAGAACTGTACAGTCTATATAATTTTATGTGCGTGTTGACCCAACCAAGGTTTAATTATAAAAAAATTTGTGTGCCTCGCTGTGTGTATGGGGGAGGGGTAATATTTCACACGATTGTTTACCTTTGCTTCAAATATGCAGTCTTGTTGAATGCCCACTTTGAAGGTTTACCAGGAAAATTGTCAGAAACGTCATTTCTGACTGGTAGGTATGAAGGGTCCAGAAACTTCAAAGCAAACTGTGACCTGCAAGAAAACAGTCACCACACATTTCAGTCAGAGATATCAATGGTTGACACCCTATCATTAGCCAATCATTCTAACCATCAATTACCATCTAACTAACCATCAATTTGCAGTACTCCAATCAATTAGGAAATCAACCAATGCATTTGTGCATGACTTTCATTCATTGTAAGACTTCCGAAATGCTGTACTGTGTCCAGCGCCTTGGGATGTCTTCCAGATGTGAAAGGCGCTATACAAATGTAACCTTGTTGTGGGCTGCCGCGTTCGCCCACAAATATACAGTAAATTCACTTTACAGTATATTCTGTGAAGCGCTTTGGGACGTCCTCCCGACGTGAAAAGCGCTATATCAAATGCAAGGATTATTATTTTTATTAGTATTATTGTTGTTGTTGTTGTTATAACTAAATATTGGTTGACAATGCACATTTTCTTGTGCTTGGATTATATGACCATCGATATTCATGGATAATAATGATAATAATAATCTTTACATTTGAAATAGTGCCTTATCACATCTTAGCAATGTCTCAAAGAGCTTCATTGGATTTCACTGTAAAGTGTAGTGACTGCGTAGCCAATCTGTGCAATGTCGCACAAGCAACCATGAAGTGAATGACCAATGTAATCTAGAAATTGTTGTTCAGTACACCAGAAGAAACTTCCTTCTCTTTTTCAAATAGTGCCATGGGATTTTTAACATCCCCCTGAACTGGCAAATGGGACCTTGGTTTAACATCGCTGAAAGATGGCACCTCTAACAATGCAGCACATCCAGCCCTGGCTTGTCAGCCTTGACTGTGAGTATCTTTACTTGTTTAATAGCTGTAACGTTAATTATCACCTAAATATTCTAGAGTTAAAGTTACTCGTTCACCTGAAGAACTCAGACTCATTTCTCATCAACTCCTGTTGTATTAAATATCTATAATGCAGTACAATATTATTATTATTATTATTACATTACATATACCAAACAACTTACGTTGTTGTCTTGGTGACTTGAATAAATTTATCTTCCTTCCCTTCAGTTAAATAACACTTTTCTATGTTTCCCCTTTTGTCTTCCCTCTCCCTTCCTTTTGCCTGAGGTAAAATGCTACATTTCTGTCTTCATTCTTTAAATGACAGACATGCCCTCAATGACAAACCATAAGAACACAAGAATTTGCAAGATGAAAGAAGACCAAAGTCCATCCAGTTCACCTTCCACCATCCTGGCAGTCGCATGCACATGTCATGTCCCAAAATATATCCCAAGATATTATTCCCTAAAAGAAATCTATAGAATTTGCTTTTGAAAGAATCAAAATTTCTGCTTCCATCGTACAATTAAATCCCATCTCTAGCCATTGGGGTCTCCATTTAATGAATGTCATTTGACAGATTTTAATGAGCCTATTTTTATGAGCCTATTTAACTCTGCGCTCAGTTAGATTCCACAAAGAAAGGTTACCTGAGATGTTTGATATGCTCATGTCTCAGCTGTTCATAGTTGGCCCAATAAAATATCTTGGACTTTGAGTTTCAATTGAACGAATAACATCTATTTAGTTAGTCAGACTTCAGTCAGTTAAAATTACTATAAATTTTTCACAATATCACAAGATACTTTGGATGATGACGGTCCCTTCAGCACATTTGATCTCATCCTTGCAGAATATAATTTTCCTATCATTAAGCTTTTTGTTAAAATGAGTTCAGCGTTCTAGCCTCAACCACCTTTCCTGGCAACTTGTTCCAGTCATTAATTACCCTCTGGGTACAGAAATAAATTTGCAGTTGAAACATTTTTATTGCAGAGTCCTGTAATGGTAATCTGCTAATGTTGCATAATTCTCCAGCTGGGATAACCCTATATTTTAGATCACTGCAGACCTACTTAGCTTCATCTGTCATCAGAGCTGATTCAACCATGGAAGCATAGACATTAAATATTAATAAAATAATAATAATCCTTGCATTTGATATAGCGCCTTACCACATAGTTGAGACCTCTCAAAGCGCTTCACAGAATACATTATGAAGTAGATTGACTGTGTATTCTGTGGGCAAAATGGGGCAGCCAATTGCGCACAGCAGTGTCCCACAAACAGTTGTGGATTTTTTTTTTGAAAAAACTGATGACTTGGTAATTTACAGCACAGAAGAAGGCCATTCGACCCACAGTGCCTGTACCGGCTCTTTTAATAGAGCAATCCTTTCAGTCCCATTTACCTGCCTTTTATCCACAAAGTCAATATTCTCCCAGGGAGACCTTCTGCCTTTAAATCGTTCCCTCCTTAGTACAATCAAAGGGCCAATGCATCAACCAGGATGCAGAACTAGAACCTATGGGCCTCAAAACTGACTGTTGTCCTGCACAGCCTCCAAACCCAGGGCTCTGTCGCCCATCTAACGTTATACTCTTTGCAAACGTGTCTGCACTATGAATCAGCACCATGGATAGCTCCCCCTCCAACCCACTCCTCTTGGCAGCCATGTTCAGCAAATACAGTGCTGGCTTTTATACTTAACAAACATCAGTAAATATCTCACAGGAATATTTTTGTTTTATATATATATATATATGTGTGTATTTATATATAGAATCCACAACTCATCTCTTGCGTAAAGCTATTCTCATGAAAGCACAGCAGGATTTCAGACACACACCACACCACACCACACATGCAGTCAGGGTTCTTGTATATCAATACCCCAGCTGGTAAAATATTAAAATATGGTGAAATATTTCAAAAAGATCTGTAACACTATTCTACTGGGAGATCCATACAATGACTAGTTTGTCATTTGGAACTAGGGCCAATTAATTACGATTTGGGATTGGCATCACACACACACACACACACAAATACATATACACATACACACATATATACACACACACAGACATACATACACACACACACACTTAAAAAATAGACTTCCCAGCATGTTTCACCCTTTTAAGCTTTTAAGGAACATGCTAATGCTTTTCTGACCCCCCCTCCTGCTCTAACATGTGGCTCTGATTTGCGTTTTCATTTCAATTATTTAATAAGGATATCATGTCAGTGCTGTGCAGGAGGCAAAATAATATTATTATTATTATTATTATATTATTATTATTATTAAAAGAGCACACTGAGCAGGCTAACCCAGCCACCCACTCACCAAAGAGACTGCACAGAAATCCGGGCCCAACTATTACACACGGATTAAACAATAATAATAATCCTTGCGTTTGATATCGCGTCTTCAAGATGTCTCAAAGCGCTTCACAGAATATCCTGTAAAGTGAATTGGCTGTGTTTATTTTATGGGCTGATTAATATTATATTATAATTAGCTGCTGCATTTCCGCCCACGAAAATGCATAGAAATCTTGCTAAGTTAGAGATTGATGTTAGGGAAGAGTGCATTTTCATTAGTGTGTGTGTGGGGAGGTGGAGGGGGGGGGGATATTCTTCCTCTCTTTCTCTCTCTCTCTCCCCCCACCCCACATCATTGGTACCCACTATGAATCACTAAACACCCCCCCCCACCCCCACCATCCCAGGACTGATGTAACAGCTACACATAACTGCACTGATTAAAAACAATCTTCCTTCTAACACAGCCAGTGCACAGTCAAACAGGAAACCTAACCCCCAAATATATTGTGTGAGTGTGTATGTATGTGGTGGGTGGTGGGGGGGGGGGGGGGGTATAAAACATATCGATTTCAGGGGGAGAGGTGGATGAGGATGCTCGAGAGGTAACATATCACGACCTAGAATATAATACAGACAAATTTATCTTTCTTTTTTGGAGGGAGGGGAGTGGGGTTGGTGGAGGTGGTGGTGGTGAGGGGTGGGTGGGTGGGGGGTTGGTGGGTTGATCACGTTGCAAGGCGATCGATTGATCCTGAAGGACTGCAGACAGAAGGACAGACAGACACAGACACAGACACACACACACACACACAATTGCAATTGACACTATGGGAAATTGGGAAAATTCCCACACGCTCTGACTGTCCCGTTTGCGGTTGAGTGAACGAATGGAGAGACGAATGAACAGTATAACATGTACTCACCGAAATCCGCTGTGGAACATGTAGAACCTGGAACCCCCTTCGCCCATGTACCTCGGGGTGCTGAACACACTGTCTTTCTTGTGGGAAACGTAGCTGATCAGTGATAAAATCAGCAAAGCCACACTCAGCATCACCAGCCCCAACACACTGGCCATGCGAACCATCCTGTAAATCCTCATGTTGCACTCTCTCTCTCTCTCTCTCTATCTCTCTCTCCACTCCCTCCCCTCCCAAACCCACCCCCACACACAACCCACGTTCAGCAGCCAAATAACCAGGGCAGGGACATCTTTTTTTCTGAATCCCTTTAGGAAGAGAGAGAGAGAGAGAGATGGATAGAGAGAGAGAGAGAGGGGGGGAGAGAGAGAGAGGGATGGAGAGAGAGAGAGAGAGGGAGACACACACACACACACACACAGAGAAAAAAAATAAAGGCAATTATATATTATATATATATATATATCGATGTATATCTATCTCTACATGCATGCAATATCTTATTCTGTGAATTTGCAATAAAAAAAAATGGAAGGGAGTGGAGTCTGCAATGCAGAAATGGCAGACCAGTTGCGTTAGTGATACGTTGCTATTGGTTTGATACCCACCCACACTACACACACACACACTCACTCACTCACTCACTCAGTCACTCACATTGCTCCCAGCGCAGCCTCTCTTCATTCCCCTCTGCTGTGCTGTGAATGTGACTGGAATAGATGCTCCACTTTACTCGCCCAAGTCACACAACACACACCACACACACACACACACACAAATAAAATACAATTCAAAACAACAACCCAGCACTTGTCAAAAGAATTCTTGCCAAACTGCTTCTGTGAGCTTCAATGATAATAATAATTATGATATGATAAAATGGAATAATAACAGTGCTTGCATTTGATAGGAATCCCCTTAACATAATAATAATAATAATAATAATAATAATAATAATAATAATAAGCCTCGCATTTGATGTAGCGCTTTTCACGTCGGGGGAACGTCCCAAAGCGCTTCACAGAACACACTGTAAAGTGAATTGACTGTATATTTGTGGGCGAATGCGGCAGCCAATTGTGCACAGCAATGTCCCACAAACAGTCGTAGATTGGAAATTACCAATTTATTATTGTTTTTGGTTTTGGAGGGATTATTATTAGGCTCTGTGTGGAGTAAGGAAACTTGCCCAAGGTTTCGCCCTCTGCCTGGAATTGAACTCAGGTCTCTCGCTTGCAAAGGGAGTGCTCTAACCACTGAGCTACAGGACTCCACAATGCCTTCCAGACGCCCCAAAGCACTCGGACAGAGTGTGTTGTAAAGTGTCCTTTGACTGCGTGTTTTGTGGGCGCAACGTGGCAGCCAATTGCGCACAGCAGGGTCCCACGCACAGTCGTGGATTGAATGACCATTTTTTTGGAAGTATTATACTGCCAGAAAGCAATCCGCCAGTCGACTAACAAGTGGGTTTCTACTTCACTGCTGGTGAAATAAAATAATTAATAAATTATCAAATGCAAGACATTTGTATGATTGTTTTTAACTCTGGCACAATTTCATTCTCCTATTCTCACTCACTTCACTGTTCAAGTTCTGGGCCAATACAAAGATTATTAATACTGCTCAGATCCGCAATCATCCCCTATTCATTTTCTGATCGCTTTGAACCCAACTTGTTCAGTCAGTTAAAAGTTACCTATCTGCTGCTGTGCGCAATTGGCTGCCGCGGTTTGCCCACAAAATACACAGTCAATCCACTTTACAGTATATTCTGTGAAGCGCTTTGAGACGTCTAGAAAGTGTGAGAAGCCCTGTATCAAATGCAAGGATTATTATTATTATATTCTGTGAAGCGCTTTGAGAAGTCCCAACTATGCGATAAGGTGCTGTATTCGCCCACAAATATACAAAGCAAGTCATTTTACAGTGTGTTCTGTGAAGCGCTTTGGCACGTCCTCTCGACGTGAAAAGCGCTATATCAAATGCACGGATTATTATTATCATTAATATTGAATAGTTAAATATGTATATGAGAATAATTGATACATTTATTTAGCTGGCTATACAGTCAGTCAGTTTCCTTCAGCCTTGCAGTTCAGGTTCAACAGCAACAAGTTGCATTTATAGAGCTCCCCTCATGCAGGGTAGCGTCCCAGAGCGCTTTCGGAAGACAGAAAGGGACCGCCTTGAATTTTCAAATAAACGTGGATTTTTTCTCCGGCTGTACTTGTCTTATTCGTGCAATTTTACCCCTAAATTCAACTCAGCACATTACGTCTTATGGGAAATGGCTGGTGCATGTTACACTAAAAATACTTGCTTTTGATATAGTGCCTTTCACGTTGAGAGGAAATCTCAAAGCACTTCACAGGATTTACTGTGTATTTTTAGGTGAACACAGTAGCAACACTTGGCCCATAAATATGCCCTGTTTGCATATATAATATTCACTTCATTTCTAATAATAATGCTAAACCTTGCATTTCATATAGCACCTTATCAGGTCTTCAAGACATCTCAAAGCACTTCATATATCCTGTCAAGTTAGTTGGCTGTATAGTATTGTGGACGAAACATTTTATTCTGTAAAATGCTAATTTGTAAAATATTTGAAATGCTCAGTTTACATGAAAGGTGAACGCTAATCACTTTTGTTATTACCTTGGCCGGGTAAAAAGGCATGAAAACAGAGATTAAAATCTGTAATTATGAGTCTTATTGACAACGTAAAAGAAATCGCGATAACACTGATTATAATCTAAATGATTGAACTTGTTCTTCTCTGGTATTTGAGTTTAAAGATTGAAGATGCACTTCAGAAAAAAAATAGCACACATAGGCTCCAAATTCCTGATTCTCTTAGCCTTGAGAAAATCATCTTCAAATTGAAGATCATGTAGAATTTTGGAAGACCCTTAAATTTAATTTGCCCACAATTTAGTATTGCGCAGAAAATATACAGTCAATTCACTTTACAATATATTCTGTGAAGCACTTTGAGACGTCTCAATGACATGATAAGGTGCTATATGAAATGCAAGGATTATTATTATTAATTTAACAATGAAAAAATGGCTTCTAAGTTAAGTTTGAATTTAGGAATTTTCCAAAATTAATAATAATAATAATCCTTGTATTTGATATAGTGCTTCATCATGTCATTGAGACGTCACAAAGTGCTTCGCAGAATGTATATTGTAAAGTGGATTGACTGTATACTTTGTGGGTGAAATATTCCGTGCAACCCCATATATTAAGGACTAAAGCTACACTTAAAGCTAAAATCATCCAGACATTTTAAGTCAGATTTGATTCCAAATCTTTGCCACAAATGGATGTTAGACATTCAATTCTTCCTTTTACATATACCCTCCCTCCTTCATGGGGGCATTAAAATAACCAATATGAATATTATTTAATTTTAGTGCTTACCTAATTCCAGAAAGTATTAGGTGCAGGTTGGGAAGAGCCAAGGCTTGGGGACCCTAGAGTGTGCGTTGGGGTCCAACCAGCTAAACCTGTGTAGCTTGCTATTGATAGAAAGAAAAAAGATGGAGAGCTGAGTTGAATGGAATGTTTCCTAGACTGAAGATGCAGTGAATCATGTTCCATATAACAAATAAAAGTGGGCCCACTCTTATTTGTTATACAGAGATTTACATAGATTTATGCAAATTATACAGCATGGAAATAGGCCATTCAGCCTAACTAGTCCATGCCGGAGTTTATACTCCACATGGGTCAATGGAGTATTTACGGTTCGAATCAATACGGATGTTTTGGTTAGTGGAGGTATTAAATGTTATGACAAAAGTGTGGGACAGTGGGATAAAAAGATCTGCCAAAATCTGACAACGAGTGGAACAGGTGGACCAGGTTCAAAGGGCTGAATGGCCTCCATTTATTACTGTTTCTGTTATTTGGGGTTAAGAATTGACAGAGCAACATAAAAATCTGCTGATTACACCACGCCTGCTTTATCTAATTCTGGAAACTATTATGCACAGATTGGCAAGTGCCAAGGCTTAGTGACCCCAGAGTGTGCAATTTACTGTAAAGTGACTGAATATTTTAGGTGAACTCAGCAGCCAATTTGCTCATGGCAATGTTTCCCAACAGCCGTGAAGTGATCGATTTTATCTGGAGATTTGTTGACCAGGACACCAGGAGAAACTTCCTTCCCTTTAGCACCAACAACAACTTGCATTTATATAGCACCCTTCACACAGGGTAGCGTCCCGGGGCGCTAAGCAGTGGCAGAGTCTGAAGGGAGATGGGGGGGGGGGGAGAGGTGATGGTAAGCACGATCAAAAAGGAAGGTTTAGGCGGGATTTGAAAGTGGGGAGAGAGGGGGCAAGGCGGAGGGATTGGGGGAAAGAGTTCCAGAGCTTTGGGGAGTAGTGGCTGAAAGCATAGCCGCCAATGGTGGAGCGGAGGAACTCAGGGATGAACAGGAGGCCGGAGCCTGCCGGGTGGAGGCAGCGGGTGATGGAGTGTGGGGCGAGTAAGTCAGAAAGGTAAGGAGGTGCGAAGACTGGTGTAATGGGGGTCCGGAGTTTTTTGTGAGTTAGTATCCGGGTGGCAGAGTCGTGCCGTGGCATAATTAACATCCGCCTGAAGGGCAGACACAATCTGGGTTTGACATCTCATCCGAAAGATGGCATCTCTGAAAATTCAGCATTGGAGTGTCAGCTTGGACTATGGGCTTAATCCTGACTCAAACCCACAACCTTCTGACTCAGAGGCACGAGTGCTAGCGACTGTGCCAGGCTGATACCTGATAGTACGAAAGGGGGAAGGAAATGCTCTTAAAAAGACATCACCACAAGATAAAGCCATTAAAAAGGCAAATAGAGCCCCTAGTTTAATATGTAGAGATACAGAATACAAAAGCAATGAAATAATGTGAAATGCCTTAGTTAGGCCATAATTAGAGTATTGTGTTACAGATTTGTATTGCATTGAAGTGTATAAAACCATTAGAAGAGGTACAATGCAGTTACAATAGAATTTTATCAGGGATGAGGGATTTCAGTTATGAAGAGAGGTTTGAAGGGAAGGAGAATGGGACTAAATGGATAGTTCTGCCAAACAGCCAACACAGAATAGCCTCCTTCTGTGTAGTATTTGGCTATTTGGCTCCCTTCTCTAAGCACAGAATACACAGTACACAGTCAATCCATCATAATATATTCTGTGAAACACTTTGAGATGACTCAACGACATGATAAGGCGCTATGGAACCCGCTTGTTATTAGGAACCCGATTGTTAGTTGAT